CCCTGTCGGTTCTCTACATGCTGTCTGACGGGGCCACGCACGAAGCCGTGCACCTGCTCTGTCGAATGCTGGTCTTTGATCCGGTGAGTTGAGTCCACAGACCAGCACTCAGTGAAAGTGTTGACACCTGTGGGACAATGTGGGAACTGCAGCTGTGCCTAGGAGTTCAGTAATGGATGAAAGAAAAAAAAATGTGATCCTAAAAACTGTCTCAAATCAATGACTGCTGTTTCAGACCAAGAGGATTTCAGGCAGCGACGCTCTCTCTCACCCGTACCTGGACGAAGGGCGTCTGCGTTACCACACCTGCATGTGTCAGTGCTGTTACTCAGTGCCCAGTGGGCGGGTCTACACCCGAGACTTTGAGCCAGCTGCCGAGAGACCGTTCAGCCACAGCTACGAGAGCAGTCTACTGTCAGTGTGGCAGGGAAAAGGTCCGGACGTTCACCCACTCACCCACTCACCCGTTCACTCATTCATCCAGAAACAGCCCTGACTTCACCCGTTCACTCTTCTTCTCGCCCTCTTCTCCACACAGAGCTGATCCACCGCTTCATCACAGAGCACCAGCAGGGCAAACGTGTGCCGCTCTGCATCAACCCTCAGAGCGCCGCCTTCAAGACCTTCATCAGGTTCTGCTTCCAACTCTTTTTTTATTGTGTGTTTTGTTCAGGCTGTCGTTTTGTAACCGTTCGTCCTCAGCGCTGGTCTCTGCACCCGTGTCCTCCTCGTAGCGCCTCACATTTTTCTTCAGTAACAGAAGGTTGTTTTTTTTTTCCGTCTGCAGGTCAACAGCGTGGCATTCATCCAAGGTTTCCAAGAAGGAGGAAAGATGAGGGCTAGTCCTGCAGGGGAAGGATTTTGATTGGCTGTTGTGTTTGAAGAGTTAGCCCCTCCCCTTCACACCTGAAACACCTCAGATATAAAAAAAGACTGTAATAAGATTCCATGAAAAATGCTGCTGAAAAATGAAGGAGGAGGAGGAACCAGGAAGTTGCTACTGTTTGTTTTTCTCTTGGATCAAGGACTTTGGACTGTTAGGGCAACTTGTGGCAATTTTCATTTTATTTTATTTTTATTTTTTTTTTGTAGTGAAGTCATTCCATCCCAGAGCTTTAGCAGAGGATTTGATCTAGATGGAAAAATCAGATTTGAATCCCAGGATTCAGAGTTCACTCCAGAGATAAATGACTAAATCTGACCTCCAACTGAAAAGTCTGACTTTTTAACAGTTTCTTCAGATTTGGGTCTCAAAAGAAATTGGTATCAAAGCCAGACTTCCATCTCTCTTTTCACAGTAATATTCCCAGAGTTGAGTCCCTCACCTCAGCGGAGAGAACCTCTCCCTGTGGTTCTGGTCCACTGGGCTCTGGTCAGTCCATCCTCCCACTGTTGCTTCACTTTTATAAATAAGACCAACGTCACTGGTGGAGTTTTTTTTTTTTTTTTTCAGCACCATTGAACGTTGGCGCAGCGAAATGGAAGCAACACAACAAATGTAGCAGGATTTTACCATTTAGCTTTGTGAGTGACCTCTGACCTTTGCCCTTTGTTGTTGTTATTTTAACATGATGTTACAGGAAGGCTGAAAACAGGAAGTTTCTCCAGGTCAGATTTTTTTCTTTCCTGGTCGCAGTTTTACCAAATTTTACTTTTCTTTTCTTTTTTTAAACTTTCTCCACCCGTCACACCCGTCTGCCTCAGTGACTCCCAACAGGACGTTAGATAAGGTGGAGAAGAACAGCGTGACCCGGGGTCAATAGGTCAGTCAGTCCGTGCTGGGATTGGTCTGGTTGTTTAGAGCTGTGATTTTGGTGTTGTGTTTTGTTTTTTTTAGTAAAAAATAACAGTCAGGTTGATTCACACCACTGTGCGTTTGATTCACACCACTTTGTTCACCCGTGTCAGGCCAGGGTTCGATCAGAGAAGGATGTTGTTGTCGATTTGATGCTGCTGGTTTTTCTATGTTGTTGTTGTTGCTTTTTTTTTGTAGTTAGGTTTTTAGTTTGGTTCTCAGGTTTCTCTGCACTCAGTGCCACCAGGCTCAGCGTTGGTTCAGTATTGATCCACAGTCATTGATCACTGGTGTCTGAGATGTGACGACACTTCCTGGTCATTTCACTTTTGAGTTTATCTTTTAATTTAACAAACTTTGTCGCGGTACAGAGTTGGGTTTTTTTTACCTCACAGATGAAAAGTCAAAAAAGAGAAATCATGGCCCTCGATGATGTTGTGTTTTTAAACGCATCACAGCGTGTTGTTATTTTAGTGTTAGCACAAACAAACAAACAGTTTTTTTTAATGGTTGTTGTTCTTGTGACGTGGTTTCCTTCTTGAGTTTTTCTCCTTTCTATTTCAGGAACTTTAGCAGGAACTGTTCTTTACCTCAGGAACTTAGTTCTCTTTGATTCCTCTGATCCCAGTCGGTGGTTCTCAGTGACCTCAGCAGAACCAACAGAACTGATGGTTCCTGTTACAGTTCCTGTGGGCGCTCTCTCACTATTTGGGATTAAAGATCCCAGAGGCGAGGGGTGGGGGCGGGGGAGGGTTGGTGTTGTGGGGGTGGGGGGGTGCACGCTGTATCTGGCCCCTCCTCCTTTCTCAAAAGGAGGCGGAGTCAGTGATGCTGTCAATGTGTGTGTGTGTGTTTGTTTGTGTGTATGAATAAAGTGTCAGGGAGAAGGAAACAACACCTGCTTATTTTCAGATTTTCTTTTAAAAACTTTTTAAATTTTTTGTTTTGTTTTGGGGTAATGGAACTGTTCTGGGTCCAGGGGAGAACCGTTCTGTGACGACACCCCAAACTGAAGCTTCATTTATATTTTCAACGTAAAGACAAAAAAACAAAACAACGAGGTTTCTATCCTTGGAACTGTTGTCAGGAACAAGGAACATTTGGAGCCGTGTGCACCACCGCACTGCAGGAAACTGTTCCAGGAATGAAAGAAAGTACCAAAAACTTGTATTGTTCCAGGAACTAGAGAAAGTACCAGACTGCTGTTATTTCTAACACAGGAGGTAGAATCAGTCACAGGGA